AATAACCCTTTTTTATACAGTTTTAGTTTAATAAAATATTTAAACGTGGTAATAGAGAGAGCTTGTATATTTTCTGGGACTTTGTTTTAATAGCGTATACATTGCCCCAAGAATGAATTACTGACTCTGTGGAGTTGAGAAACTGTTTGTTGTTTTTTGGCAGCATAATGGCATTTTGGCAGCACAGGTTTGTTGGCAGCATTTCAAAATACTACAATCTCTACTCTTTGTGACTGTTTGACCACAGACTATGTGTTTGACTTTAGTAGTATGAACATTAACAATGAATGTTTATTTTTAGGGTTCCGTAGTTACACAACAAGGAACCTTTATAGTTTCGCCATATCCGTCCGTCCGTTCGTCCGTCCGTCCGTCTGCGGTTTTGCTAAGAGACCCTAGGTGCTACGAATCTGTAATTTGACATAGTTATAGATATTAATCACGCCTAGAAAACTGTGAAATAAAATCTTAAAAAACTTTTTTATTTTGGGTACTTCCAATACAATGAAATGAAGGATGATTTTTTTGCCACTCGATAATCCTTCTTCCCTATCTGTTGTCAGTTCTTCGACTGATCTGCTAGGTAGATCAGATACTGTTGTTCTTCTGCGGATATTACCGTTATGGATGGAGAAATTTCCCTTTCTATTGCTCGCTGAGTAATTTTAAGCTTTCTCATAGAGTCAGCAATAGAAAATAGATCGAACGGTTCCTTAAATCACGACTGGCGATAAGGACTGGTTTCACTTTTCTCTTTTATGGCTAATAAAATCAATTAGAATTCGTAGGTTTTTTTTTATAGGATCAAGTAACAAACGAGCACACAGTCCACCTGATGGTAAGTGGTTGCTGTGGCCCATAGACATCTACATTTATCTTCGTTTGCGAATCAAAACGCAGATGCGTTGTCACCCGTGAGGACTAAGATGGAATGCTTCTTTTCCGGTAAAAAGGGTCTCCGGTTCTCTACACGCACCATACGAAACACAGCAGCGTTAAGCTGCTATTTTACGCTGGTATTCTGTGAGAGCGTGGTCCTTTCCCGGTCGAGCCGACACATTCGTGCTACAACTATACTACTAATATAGCTGCAGCGTGGCTCTACCACGTAAAAATGTTATACAAGTACTTAATTTGTATCTCATTTTTAGTTTCTTATTGTTTTTTTCTGTCAAGAAATTACAGTAGCAGCCCATAGTTAGGAAGTTGGCGTTGTTTCACTCCCGTACCTCATCTCTCTCCGGTTGTGTTGGATTGCTGTCCCATCGGACTATGGGTGTGACAGAATACGGAGTGCACTTGTGCACTATAACCCTGTCCTGCGCAAATGTTTACTCGCCGTTGAGAATGGCTACCGTGACCCAAATTCAGTCAGGGGGATATGTTTAATTCGTTTCTCAGAAACAACTCTAACGATTTAGTAAAATTTAGTTAGGTAGATGTTTTACTTTCCAAACTTATTGAAATAGGTCATTTATTGAGAAAATTATAATTTGTTTTATTCAGCATCTAAGCCTATCATTTATAACATTTTGTTAGTGATTGCAATAAAGGATAATATATCTCTTCTCTAACGTAAAATTAAGAAGAAACTAAAAACATTTTATCACGTATAAATGACGTAGTCGTAGCCTGTATGAATATCTCGCGAATATGCTATAGGCGCACACTTGTTACTCACGCACTGATTACCACTGCGCGGTAATATTGATTCATTCTTAGGACGAAACATATTACAGTTTTTACCTATAATACGCGGAATAACGCACTAAGAGACGATCTATAGAGTTACAACCCCTAAATCTTTATATATAAAAATTACGTGTCACGTTGTTTGTCCGCGATGAACTCCTAAACTACTGAAGAACTGATTTCAATGAAAATTTGCACACTGTGCAGTTTGGTCCAACTTGAGAGATAGGATAGTTTTTATCCTGATAAGTGACACTCAATATTTTTTTATTAGGAATTTAAGGATTTTTTATATGAAGGGTCTTCGGAAAGAGCAGAACAACGTCTGCCTGGCCAGCTAGTCTATAATATACAAATGAATCGCTGAATGTGTTGCTAAGCGCAAATCTCGAGAGCAGCTGAACCGATTTCGCTAATTATTTTTTTATAATATTCCTTGAAATACGAAGATGGTTCTTATGGAGAGAAAATTTTAAAAGATTGCCTGAAAAAGTCTAAAAACAACACTTTTCTATATTCCCATACAAAAGATTCGTAATAATATTTAAAAGTCAATTTGAACTTTCATACCATAACATAAAGTTTAAGTGATAGTGAAGGTTTTTTTTATAGGAGAGGGGGCAAACGAGCATGCGGCTCACCTGATGGTAAGTGACTACCGCCGCCCATGAACAACTGCAACACCAGGGAGGGAATTGCAGATGCGTTGCCGGCCTTTTAAAAAGGAGTACGCTCTTTTCTTGAAGGTCCCTAAGTCGTATCGGTCCGGAAAAATCGCTGATGGTAATCGATTCCACAAGGAAGTCGTGCGAGGAAGAAAACATCTTCTAAATCGCACAGTGATGGACCGCCAATCATCCAGATGGTGGGGATGGTATCGGGAGTTCTGCCGCGATGTGCGTTCGTGAAATTTGGCGGCTGGGATTAATCCGAACAATTCCTCAGAGCACTCCCCGTGGAGGTTTTCCGGAAAGGCAAAACAATTGAGTGAAGTTAGTATCGTATAAATATGAATGTCAATATTTGTCAATATTTATACGATGGCAGCATTACTCAAAAACAAAATTAGGGTTCCATGAAATCGTAGTAAATTCCACGCGGGCGAAGTCGCGGGGCACAGTATTATATAAATATTGATGACAACATTTATATAGGTATAAAACAAAAATGCATTTAGATAATGAAAACTTTGTACGGCAAATCGATAAAACACCTGCATAATTAAATATGCAGTTGGCAGATATTGAATTAAATAAAATAAACAAATAGCTAAAAAGGCAGGCAGTCAGACACACTGACAGGTAAGTAAGTAATCCCGAAGAGTGTGGAGCTAATGTTGATGAAGCGAAAACAATGCATGCCAAGCCGCGAGATAAAGCACGTAGGCAGGAGTGAAAACGTAGTGATTCCGACCCTGGCTTAGTGTTTTTTTGTATTGTAAGATGCAATAATTTATAAGTTATTAAGAATAACTCAAAAACTATTAGTATGACCTTGATCAAATTCATATGTGGTCTCATATGCATTTGAATTGATTTTTTTAACGAGAAGTACCAGCTTTCAAATAAAAAAGAATCATCGAAATCGGTTCGTCCAGTAAAAAGTTATGAGGTAACACACATAAAAAAACATACAGTTGAATTGAGTACCGTCTCCTTTTTGGAAGTCGGCAGAAAAATTTGAATAGACTCACGAGACGATACAATAAGTTTAGTTTTTTATTTTACTATGCTTGTCGTAATTATTTATAGACTGTTTTACCTTTGATTATTGATGTGATTGATACCTGTATATATAATCAGTATTTTACTTATAAAAAAAACATAAACACTCACGCCTGTCACCCAGGGGTAGGCAGAGACTATGGACTTCCATTTGGCATGATCCTGACACACCTCTCTCGCTTCCTCCACATCCATATACCTACGCATACACATACGCTTGTCGGTTAAAGGTACTCTTGATTTGGCCCATTTCCAATATATCGCCGATTTGGTCGATAAACTTTCGCCTAGGGCGTCCCTTCCCGACTCTGCCGTTCACCTCTGCAACATAAATTTGCTTTGTCACTCTTTTTATTTTATTTTACTTATATTTTAACAAATGTGTACGTGGTCAATTATTATACATATGATATAAAATATTTAAACACCTATCAATATCCTACCCATAATTGGCTAATCAGAAGTGTATTTGTCATTGGTGCTACGCTTGGCGGCGGATCAGGAGGCGCAGTTTTTCGAGTTCCATAGTTACATAACAAAAGACCCTTATAGTTACGCCGTCCGTCCGTCCGTCTGCGATTTTGCTCAGAGACCCTAGGTGCTACGAATCTGTAATTTGGCATAGTTATAGATGAAATTAACCACGCCTAGAAAACTGTGAAATAAAATCTTAAAAAACATTTTTATTTTGGGTACTTCCCATAGGGGTATGATTTTTTTTTACCCGCTTATTCCATCATGTCGGGTATCGTTGGATAGGTCTTTCAAAAACACGGTGGGTGTAGAACATCATCTTTTCGATTCAGGGGTCCGTTTGCGGAATATTTAGCGTTAAAGTGGTATTTTTCATTTTAATTTTTATTAGATTAAAAGCGGTTTAGTTGGTAGAGGAATCGCACTAAACAATCTAATTTAATATAATATGTATTACTTGCGAGATACATTGTGTTTTCATGCAATGGCCAAGTCAATCTATTTATTTAAAACATAAAAGATTTTTAATGATAATATGGTCACTATAAGATGTTGTTAGGTTAGCTAATTACGTAATAACTTAAGAGAGAAGGACCCCTAAGTAGGGACTAAATAAATTAACCGACTTGGTATTACATGGATCTCACAACTTTTTACGGTAGAAGAACTGAGTTGCGAGACTTGTTTTTTTTTTACAAGTTATGTTTTTGATGGCATATACATTACTAATATTAGCTATATATCCAAAACTAAAAGTTTTTTAATATTTTTTGAATACTACTCCTTAGAAGGCTGATTTAAAAATAAGTTCTTCAGTTTCGATCTTCCTATGGACCCATTTATGTCGTTATAGCGGTCAATCCGCGAAATCACTTAGCTCATTATCAAGAAAGTCCACGTATTGTGACGGGCAACTACGGAACCTTACCTCTACATTGTGCGTGGCTCGACACGCACTTGGCCAGTTTTATTTTTATTTTCAAGTTACCACCCCACCTTATGACCACCTCATGAAGATATGGGGTATTCTTACTGTCACTGTCAAACGGTTAAACATAAAATGTATTTTCTAAACATATTGTAATTCGTTAATATATTTATCTTTTTCAGAAATTACCATATCCAAAAGCGGTTGGGTTCATAGTTACAAATGAATTCTGCGAAAGATTTTCGTATTATGGAATGCGAAGTAAGTATTATTTTGTCTTCTTTATTAAATGTTACTAAGATAGAGGTACAGATATATAGTTGTTTGTCTTATGTGAAATTAAAAAAATAGAAAACAGATTTATAGTAAATTACGCTAAAAAACAAAATTTAAGTTACTTAATGAATTTAAATTTCCTTTCAATGGAAGGGGCTCATGTCCAGCGGTAATCTTCCACGGACTGATAAGAAAAACTATGTACCTAATGTAACTTTAAATAACTAATGGAACCTAATACCTATTTAAATAGACTATATGAGAATATGGATAGAAGTCATGGATTATTAACAGTTGCAGAAAGATTTATTTTTTATTTATTCTGTATACTTTTAAAAATTTTGTTATTTTTGTCATTAATAAAGGTATAAAAAAGTATTTTCACTCTTTATAGCAATATTAAATACAATAGTTATAGTCGTAAAAAGTTATTCTAAATATGTTGAAATTATAGAAAAAGCTATATTATATACTCGTATAGTTCGAAGAGTCGACAACCGATGGAAAGAATGTTCTCGCTAGCAGCCTCGTACCTAAGCGAAGTAAGGTAAATGAAGTGTGGGCTAGTTATTTAATGAGTAGATAAGTAAGTGTATGTACCTAGATAGTTATTATTCAAGTTGGTCTAATAAAATAAAAGAGTTAAATTATATACCTAATTATAACATTTTGTTTGACTATTTTTTATTTTAATAACACATCCAGCATGAATAGGATGAGAGAGTGTAGATACTAAGATGATGGCTGAAAGAGTATGAAAGGAAAGTACCACATACGCCGCTGACCCTAATTAAGTTAGAACAAGCGCAGGTGAATGATGACATCCAATAAAAATATTTTAAATGTCGTCTCTATAATTATGTAGATGCTGATTTATTAATTGATAAATCAATCCCACCAAAATCATAACAACGAAAAATGCAAGTTTCACAATGCAATCCTGCCGCAAAATGTTGTGAGATCTAACATACCAACATTGCAAGGCTGAAAAAAATACGTTTAAAAGAAATGGTCACATCACGTTACTTTACTTTTTTGTTTGGTAAGTTTCCTAGTCCAACCAAGCAACAAATGAAACATTTAGTAAAATTTTATGAATTAGTATTTGTCTATACAACTAACAATTCTTAATATTTAACAACTGGGCATAAATATTGGCACAGTTGAACAAATACACATGCTATAAATTGATGCAAAGAACACCAACAGGTGTCTAACAATCAGTCACGTTGTTTTGCTTTTCTAAAGGGTCAAGTGTTCGCTAAGTTGTCGAATAAAGAGTTCGACATCTCAGCGATTTCGAATGTCAAAAGTGCCACTTGTTAATACTAGACATAGAATTAATTCTATGATACTAGATAATATCGTTCGTGTTATAAGTTTTCTTTATCGTTCTTTATCGTACGATCACTTGATGTTTCGAAAGCTAATGTCAGTTCCATAAATTTCGGAGTTATCTAATTTCGTTATCGTTAATGAAAATATGACTTTATCTAGAGGCCCTTCATGCAGGAAGTCGATGGATTCAGGTAGTTAAGAACCGTGCGTGATTAATTGGGGGCGGAATATGTCCAGCACTGGACTTGTGATGGGCTGTAACAATGATGATGAATATAATTGATCAGAATATAGATGATAGAGAGAAATAAGAAATAATGTTATATTTGTAAACCGTTCATAGGTTCTGACCCGAATCATTTCTGACCTCGAGAGCTGAGCACTTACTTACGTTACGCACTTACGTTATAAGTATAATGTAACTAATTAATGTCTCTCGCTACTTCAAACTCAATTGGTGTCAATATTGCAATATATTATTTACTTAAATGTTAGCAATGTATATATCGGTCATTATTAAATGTTTTGATGTCATTCACAAAGTCTTACAAGTGCGAATTGATCAATTGCCCTTGAATGATTGTTTCGAATACAAATCGTATTCGAAAATTAGCAAATATTTATTGTTTGTAACTATGTGTTCAAAAGATATTTTTAGAAAGGATACTGTTTTTAAAAAGGATAAGCTTAGCAACGCTATATTGTACATTGTATTATATATTAATTAAAATTATACGCTTATCGAATCGAAATTTAGATTTAAAACTAATATAACATATTTTTAGGGTTGTAATAATCGCGGTTTTGTGTTAAATGAACAAAAAACAATTATTTAATTGATTGATTTGTCTTGGGCTTGTGACTGTCTCTGCGTCTCTGACAATGCATCCGGACTTACATCCGTATATTATAAACAAAGCTAACGGGCACGGGTAGATTAAAATGAGTGAAGGCTTCTGAATGCATATGTACACTTAATCATCTCCATAATATTTCCTGAACAGCTGTCAGCTTCTAAGAGTTTTTACTATACTAGAATTATTTTGTACGTGCAGTTTGGGTCATAAATCATCGGAGTATTTCGATCTCTCTCCCACTCACGGGCCTTAGTGTCGAGCATAGTGATGCGCATTATTGCTGTCGATAAGCGTTATCGATAGTGTATTTAGTTTTGTCTTTATGTGGGTTAGTGATAAAAATGAAAAAAAAATTAGATAAAACAACGTATTTATTAAAATAAAAATAATAATGATTTAAAATAAATTATAAGTACAAATGTTTGTAATGTAACAAGTTATATTAAAAATAAATAAAATATAAATATACTTAAAGATAATAAAATATCTAAAATTAAATCTAAAACTATTTACTTGTTTCATTTGTTGTTATCAATAATGGCGTTGCGCCCGTGTAACATGGTCAGCGCCCTAGCCGGGTTGAGGCTATGCTGTCATTTATGACCCCAACTGCACGCACAAAAAATTTTTACTATGGTGCTCCATTTTGCTTAAGAGTCCGCTTGGATTGTTACCACCGTCTTGCCTATATCTGTCGCAACCCAGTAATGCGTGCACTGCTGTGTGAAGACTTCCGATGTGAAGACTATTTTAGACTGAGAGGCATTTGATATTGGTTCTCCGGATAGATATAGCATTTGTGGCATTATTCGTTTGAATTTGGTTGCAGGTGTCCATGGCCTGCAGTAACCACTCACTAACAAGTGTATAGCTGGATTGTTTGTCTTGCTAATATTAAAACAAAAATCGAAATGTGTCTCCCTTATTTTACTAACGCACAACTCTCTTAATAAAGCCTTTCCACAGATATTTTGACATAGTAGAGCCACGCTGCAGCTATATTTATAGTTGCAATATGAATGGGTCTGCTTGATCAGAGAATGAACACGCCCTCACGAAATACTAGTGTAAAGTGAGTGTAGAGAAACTGGGTCCCTTTTTACTGGTAACAAAGTATTCTGTTTTAGTCCTCAAGCGCAACGCATATACATTGTAATTCTTAATTGAGATTTGATGTAGGTGTCTATAGGCGACATTATTCGCTTAACATAAGGTGGAATGTTTTCTTTTGCCACTGTTATTCGTTCAAACTCGGCTTGTATAAATACGAACGTTATCTCTTGATCTATCAAGGTTTGTTATGAAATGCAATTTTATAATCCCATAAAAGCGATAACAAAGTAAATAAGGCAATATTGTTTTCAATCGCTCCGTTTTTAATTGGGAGACGTACCAAGGCGTCGTTGCCCTTCGCTATGGTTTTTAATGTTGCATAACTTATAATCTCAATGAGAAATATGAAGGCAACTCCTATAATTATGATTTTAATAGTGTACCTATTATTCATCATAACAGTACCTACTAACTTGTAATTATAAATTTTCTCAAATAAAGCGTTGATATTTTAGAAGAAATGTAACTCATCATAAGTTTATTTGGTAACATAAAATAAAAACAAAAACAACGTTTGGTTGCGAACTAAATAAATATACATGATCATAAACTCTCACGCCTGACACTAGGCAGAGACCACAGAGTACTTTTTTAGCAGTTACGTTTGTCACGACGCTAGCACATCTCTCGCTTCTTTCACATCCATATAACGCATACATGCTCGTCGGTTAAGTACAAGTAGGACGGGAGTGATTGTGTATTATTATCACCCTATTTCTCTTCGTAGAAGTCAGCGACTATGAAAAATGTCAATAGAATCCAAGTAAAACCATGGCTTGTTATGGCAATGTTAGATGACAGTATAATAGTTTCGTTTACGCCAGCCGTTACGATAGCTCGCCCATGGTTTAACGCCGAGTGCGCTCGTGCTGAAAAACACAAGCTTAAGGCGTACTTATCCTGGGTCGATGCTCGAGACCGTAAAGCTCCGGATGTTAGCCTTAAGAAGAGAGCCTTTACCAAGCTGCCAAGTCCTGCAAAAAGGCATTAAGCCAAGCCAGTTTCGACCGCATTAAACGCATCGGCACAAAGCTCTCTGTAAAACCATCTGGCAGTAGAGCTTTTTGATCTCTCGCCAAAGCGGTCGAGACAAACTTCTGTCGGTCTACACTGCCTCCGCTGGTAAAACCAGATGGCTCACTGGCGCACGCACCTAAGGAGAAAGCGGACTTATTTGCTTCTCTTTTTGCTTGCAATTCGCGTCTGGACAGTAGCAACAGCGTACCATCTCAATTACCTCACTGCGGTACCTCTATGTCAGAGGTCCGTATCACCAACACGGAGGTTCTTAAAACCTTGCGAAGTCTAGACGTAAACAAAGCTAGTGGACCTGATGGTATTTCAGCTATAGTTCCAAAGGCTTGTGCACCTGAGTTGTCTCCTGTGTTGACACGCTTGTTCCGCCTCTCATTCAGGACTGCAATAGTGCCCAAATCTAGGAATCTGGCCAATGTGCAGCCTGTGCCTAAAAAAGGTACCGAACCGACCCTGCTAACTATCGGCCAATTTCAATTACCTCCATAGTCTGCAAGATTATGGAGGGTATATTGAAAGCCCACTTCATGGCATACCTAGAGCAAAATGATCTCCTCAGTGATCGCCAGTACGGGTTTCGCCGAAATCGATCAACTGGGGACCTTCTAGCGTATGCCACTCACATATGGGGCGAAGCCCTCGACAACAGTGGTGATGCACTTGCTGTTTCCCTCGATGTTTCGAAGACCTTTGACAGGGTTTGGCACGCAAGTCTATTGGGCAAGCTTTCAGCGTATGGCTTATCCCCTGGCCTGATTGCCTGGGTGAAGGACTTTTTGAGTGAACGGTCTCTCCGGGTCGTCGTCGATGGCTGCTCATCCGGTACTATGGCGACTAACGCCGGTGTTCCTCAGGGGTCCGTCCTCTCCGCAACTCTCTTCCTGCTGCATGTAAATGATCTGCTCATTCCCGGTATCTAGGGGTATGCAGATGACAGCACAGTTGTGGAGAGATACCAACCAGGTGCCCGGACCAGTCGGGATCAAATCCAGTCAGAAAGAGAGGCTATGGTTGAACGTGTGAGTCTCACACTACAGGCAGTCTCCGAATGGGGCGATGCCAATCTCGTGAGATTTAACGCTTCAAAATCACAAGCGCGTCTTTTTACCGCTAAAAGGAGCCCGCTCACCTTGGCTCCTACTTTCCGGAATGTATTCTAGGAGTACACTGACCGCCTTCAGTTGTTAGGGATTGAATTTTCTCCGAACCTAAACTATGGGCGGCTCATTGAGTCCAGAGCCAAAACAGCCGCAAGGAAACTTGGTGTGCTTGCAAGGGTGCGGCGGTACTTCACGCCGGGGCAGCTTCTTATCTTATATAAAGCGCAAGTCCGGTCGTGCATGGAGTACTGCTGTCACATATGGGCTGGTGCTGCAAAATGCCACCTGGCAGCATTGGACTCAGTGGAGAGACGTGCTAACAGGCTCATTGGTGACCTTGATTTGGTTGAAACCAACCTTGTCAGCCTCGAGCACAGACGCAGAGTAGCCAGTCTCTCGGTATTCTATAGGATGCATTTCGGTGAGTGTGCGCAGGGATTACACGCTTTAATTCCTCCCTCTCCTTTCCTCCATCGGACAACCAGGCAGTCGGCGGGTCTTCATCCCTTTGTGGTCGATATTCCACGCATTAGAACCATTGCTTCGTACTTTGTAATGCGTACAGCAAAGGAGTGGAATAATTTGCCGGCGTCAATCTTTTCGTCCGAATACAATCTGGGCGTCTTCAAGCCAAGAGTTTTTTTTACGATAAGTCTTCAAGGCAAGAGTGAATAGGTTTTTGTTACGATAAGACAGTGCGATTTACCATCTAAGGCTACATCACCACTTATCATCAGGTAGGATTGTGGTCAAGCACTGGCTTATAATAAGTAAAAAAGCCGTAAAATGCCCATACAGATGACGGGAAGCAGCGTCAAAATGTGTGGCATCTGGTACTACGAACCCCCCTTTTGCCTTCGTAGTAGGCCATAACCGCAACGCTTGGCGTTGCGCCATAACCGCAACGCTAAGCGTTGCGGTTAATGCCCTCCCTATGGAAGAAGACACTTCGTCTTGCAGTTGACTTTAACGGGCTGATGAAGAAGTAGAATAAACCTAAGAGCTATAAAAACCCCTACTATTTACTACCAACTTCAAAAAGGAGACGGTACTAAATTCGAATGTATGTTTTTTTGTGTGTGTTACCTCATAACTTTTTCATCATTACAGCCCTTCACAAGTCCACTGCTGAACATAGGTCTCTCCCAAGGAATGCCACAGAGCACGGTCCTGAGCCACCTACATCCATCGAATTCCTGCATGTCTTACCAGGTCGTCACTCCATCTAGTGGGGGGACACCCTACACTTCGTTCGCCGGTGGGAGGCCACCACTCGAGAACGTTTTTTCTCCATCGGTTGTCGGTTCTTTGAGCTATTTGGCTGGCCCATTGCCACTTCAGCTTACCAATTTGTTGGGCCATGTCAGTCACTCTGGTTCTACCGCGGATATTCTCATTTCTAAGATTATCACGCAGAGAAACTCTGAGCATAGCCCTCTCCATAGCTCGCTGAGTGACCTTGAGCTTCCTCATCCGACCAGCAGTGAAAGACCACGTCTCAGTTTCATCACTGGTAACACGCATTGGTTGTACAGTCTCGTTTTTAAGTTTTGAGATATAATACCTGACGAGAAGATGTGCCGTAATTTCCCGAACGCTGCCCAGCCGAGTTGAATCCGTCGACTGACCTCTCCGTCGAAGTTGGACTTACCTAGTCGGACTATTTGCCCCAGGTAAACAACTTCGACCTTAGTGCTCCCAACATCTACCGGCATAGGTGTGACATGGACATTAAACATGATGTTTGTTTTGTCCATGTTCATCTTAAAACCTATCCGTTGGGAAACACTACTGAAGTCATTGAGCATAGTGCTTAGATCCTCCAGCGATTCTGCCATATGGACTATATCGTCGGCAAATCGAAGGTGAGTGATGTACTCGCCATTGATGTTGATACCGTATCCTTTCCAGTCCAGAAGCTTGAAAACGTCTTCCAATGCAGCGGTGAAGAGTTTCGGGGATAACACGTCACCCTGTCTTACACCTCTCTGCAATTGGATAGGTTTCGTACTCTGGTTCTGTACTCGGATAGTCATCGTAGCCCTACTGTACAAACTGCCTGCTAAAGCCTTTTTGGAAACCGGATTGTTCGGGAAGCTGGAAGTCGTCGAGTCTGCATGCGGGACGATTCGTAATGACTCTCGAAAACAGCACGTAGACGCGGCTCAGAAGGGAAATCGGTCTGTAGTTCTTCAAAAAAGCGTTGTACCCTTTCTTGTAAAATAAGACCACCGCACTTCTGCTCCACGCCTCCGGTGTAGTGCCCCCATAAAGGACGGAATTAAACAGCTTCTGAAGGACTTCAAGTATCGGTTTTCCACCGAAGCTCCACTGTAATTCCATCCTCGCCTGGGGCTTTGTCATTTTTAAGGTACTGGAGAGCCATTCTAATCTCACCCAGACTGACGTCCGGAATATCATCGGAATAGTGTCGGATAAGACTCGCTCTTGGATCGTTACTCACAGTTGTGTGTGGCTCCAACGATGACGTGTATAGGTGCCCATAGAACTTCTCAATCTCACTCAAAATCTCATGTGCCCCAGAAACGATGCTGACACATTCGGTCTTCAGCTTTGACAGTTGGCTTTTTCTGGCAGACAGATCTCTGGCAAAGACTTTGGAGCCTTGGTTCCGCTCGATAGCTTCTTCAATACAAGCTATATTGAAGTTGCGTAAGTCCCGCCGCATGCATTTGGAGATCTGTCTGTTCAGTTGCATGTATGCTGTCAAATCTGTTGAAGAATGTAGCTTCATCTCCCGTCTAACAGCCATGAGATAGAGAGTGTGATCGGAGAGTTTTTGTGTTCATCTGCGGCAGGTGTTGAAGAACTTAGCTCCGACCGCATGGACAGTTTTCATGAGCTTGTCATATCGTCCACTGCATTGCAATCTTCTAGGCACTGAAAACGATTTTGTTACTCGAACTGTAAGGTTTCGCGACTTTGGATTAGATTACGAGGGAGACGAAGCGTTGACTTCATTAGACGTGACCTCTCCAACTTAACGTTTAGGTTCAGTGTTCAGTGTTTCTCACCATTCGGTGATCGCTGCCGGTTTTCACCCTCAAGATCACTGAGACATCACTGAACAGTTGTCGTCTGGTCGTCATAATGAAGTCAATCTTTTTTTTGTCGGACCGTCCTACCCCCATGATTAAGTTACGAAGAGACGACCGCTAGTCCCCGGCGGCTCCGCTATTCCTGGCCATGGTGGCGCCCATGGTAACGGCGAGGCATGGGGTGCTAAGAATCTCCGGTGGAGGTTCGGTTGCCACCTAAGACGACTCAACCTGGCAACATATAACGCACGCACCCTGAAGACTGGCGAGAAGATCCTGGAGCCGGAAGAAGAGAAGGATAATTTGCGCTGGAATATTATAGGATTATCTCAGGTCCGAAGAGAGGGGGAGGACATGGTAATGCTCGAATCCGGCAACTTGTTCTATCACTGGGAGGGCGATCATCTATCGATTGAAAGGTGATTTGCGAAGTCATTCCACATACGGCATTGTCTACTAATATACGGTTTCAACCCAAACAAGCCTGTTTTTTATCTTCGTTTAGTTCGAAAAATTCGGTAAACTAGATAACATTTCTCCAGTCTTCTCCTGAATTCCGCTGTACGTATTTGTTACGAATTGTTTGGTCTTGGCTTTCCTTAATTTGGAGGCAAATCCAAACAAATTAAATGGTTATAATTTTTCTATATCTAATACCTTAATAAAATAATAATTATCTAATGCCACGTCTGTTTCTAAAGAGGTACATAGGTACCGTATTGACGAACGTCTATACCAGAAAAAAAAAACAAAAATCAGTGCCGAATAGCAACCAATAGTTAAAATTGCAATTAACAATTTCATTTGCGCTTCCGGGAATGAAACTCGGTACTGTTAGTGGTAGATGCATTAAATTGAATTATGCCATCTCAAGCAAATTTCCAAAACATCGGCACCGATGGTCAAAATGCTTGTAATATAAAATGGTAGAGTGGCCTTACTTCTAAACAAAATTAAATTTATATAAAATTAATATGTAATATTTTCATCCTGTCCGGTTTAGTGTTTAGGCTACTCTTACGTCATATTTTATATTATTGTTTTGTTACAGCGATCCTTTCCTTGTACCTCCGCGACAAGTTGGGCTATTCAGACAACGGCGCCACGGTCATATACCATGTGTTCACAATGTTTGCATACTTCTTCCCAGTGCTTGGTGCGATGATCGCTGATGGATGGTTGGGACGTTTCAGGTAATTAAATGATCTGTGTGATACTCGTAAGTTTGAGAAAATGTGAACATAAAAGTTTGATACTTTTATTTCTACATTTTCATTATAATTTATTGGATAGTATTAAGCGGTCTTATCACTGTAACCGATTTATAAAATGTATTTAGCAAAACATTAACATTGGTAGAGAACGTTCGATTCATGAGGTCTTAATGCGATTCGATTCGAATTAAAACTGCACGAGGCTCCCTTGTGGATTTTGTCACATTCAAAATTTTCGCATACTTTTCATTGTATGTACATTTGACACTATAAAAGTTATAAAATCTAATATCTAATTTTAAATCTATCAAGTAAATACATGAGCCGTTTTTAAATCATATCTTTTAGGGAAATGAAATAATTAACTAGGTATTCAATAGAAGAGTAATGTTAATTTAACTTGCTTGCATTATTTGCCACGGTATGGCAGCGTCATAAAAAATTCCATTAATCTATCTTGACGCATGGCGTGGACTGTTTACGGGTTAATGAGCGTATAAATGAAACTAACACTCACACATACACTTCATCCCATTGAATTGATATATATTTTAAAATAAGCCTTGACCATGGAGCCACAAATTACGGTCCTGAGCCACTTGCAGCCATCGACTGCCAAGTGTTTTCATTAAGTGCCAATGCAAATAGGAATTACAAATTACTGTCATGTGAGTTAATTGCATACGATCCTTCATTGTTCCTACCCATAGAAGACCTTAACCTTTCTTTATATTTTTTTAAGTTAGTTTAATGCTATTTACTACTAATATCCCCTTTAAAACTGGTGAGCTTTAAATGCTTGTTAGGAGTTGTTCACGACAGTAGTCGAATGGCAGATTTGAACCCATGATAACTATTGATTATAAAATATACAAACATACAACATACATATACATATAAAATCGAATTGGGGGTGCACATAGGGTCATTTGCATGCTATTAAGACATATTAACCCTTTAAAAAACTCTTCTGTCTTCAGAATGGTTAAACCGATCATAATGAAACTGCGGACAGATAGAAAGACAGAAAGCAGTGCAGTGATTACATCCGAAAAACATGAGAGATATTTTGTGAGAGACGTTTTGGTTCGCAATTTTACACAAAAATGTTCTCAAGTTTTAGTGCGAATCGGTTTTTAACATTTTCAACCGACTTCTAAAAAGAAGGAGGTTTTCTATTTACTATATCTTTTATGTGTTACCTCAGAACTTTTTTCTAGGTGAACCGATTTTGATTATTCTTGTTTTATTTGAAAGCTGGTGCTTCCATGTGGTCTGTATAATAAATAATAAATTTGATCAAGATCTGATCAGTAGTTTTAGAGTTATCCTTAATAATGCGTATTTAATTGATTTTGACTACAATGATGATGTCCTCATTTTATTTATATTAAAGTCGGCTGTACAAAATTATATAATTTTACCTGGTCGTCACCCCACGAGATGGAGTGACGACCTGGTAAGACATGCAGGAAGTCGATGGATGCAGGTGGCTCAGGACCGTGCTTTGTGGCATTCTTTGGGGGAGGCCTATGTTCAGCAGTGGACTTGTGGAGGGCTGTAATGAATGAAAAAAAAAACCACTTGTCTAACTACACTTTATAATCAAATTATGAGTAGGTACTAAAGAATTAGGTGATAATACTATTTTAAGGTGAAAAGAATGAATCTTAATTTTTTATATTATTCATTTTACCATACCGTCCACAGCTTTTGGGATCATTGAGCTACTTTTTTTTATAGGATAGTGTGACAAACGAGCACACAGTCCACCTGATGGTAAGTGGTTGCTGTTACCCATAGACACCCACATCGATGCTCAATAAAGAATCAAAATGGAGATGCATTGTCACCCGTGAGGTCTAAGATAGAATGCCTTTTTTCCAGTAAAAAGGGTCGCCGGTTCTCTACACTCACCAAACGAAACACAGCAGTGTTAAGCTGCTATTTTACGCTGGTATTCTGTGAGAGTGTGGTCCTTCCCCTGTCGAGCCGACCCATTCGTGTTACAACTATACTATTAATATATCTGCAGCATGGCTCTACCACGTATAACTTATAACTTGCCCAAGTACCGCTAATATATATCTGCAGGTTTTTTTTATTAGGTTCTACGCGGACGTAGTTGCAAGTAAAATCTAGTGCGCGGAACCCTAATTCTTTTTCTAAAATATAAGTAGCTCAAGTTACTCCTTATAACATCAGCTATGTGCCAATGAAAGTCACGTCGAAATCGGTCCAGCCGTTTCGGAAATTAGCTGGAACAAACAGACAGACAGACAGACTGAAAGACAAACAGACAAAAATTTTAAAAATCATGTTTTTGTTATAACTACCGTATATACTCGTACTTTCATATGCATATAGTAAAAAGCTGTTATTTCGACATTACAACCAGACACTTCAATTTTATTTCTTTGTATAGATTATGTTATTAAAATGTGTTTTGTTAATTTTTATGAATTTTGAATGTTTTGTTCAAGAGCTAGAACTAAAAGACTATGTATTCATTTCAGAACAATATTTTACCTCTCACTTGTATACGCCACGGGTACCGTCCTGATATCTGTAACCGCGATGCCACCAGTGCCACTGCCTCAATTGTAAGTTATTTTACAAGCAAATTTGTTTGTTATGAACATCATATGGCATCTTGCGCTTTAAAAAATGGACCGTGTACCGCTGAAATGTTTCACCCCACAAAATGAAAAACTTATTCAAACTTGACAGATAAATACGACTTTCTTGTGGCAGAATGTATATAATTTTAAAGAGAATTGAATAGAAATGTACTGTAAAAAGAAGCTTTGGTTCATTATTACGGACCGTTTGTTCACTGGTTGGATCATTTCTGCAAAACACGGTTCAAATGTTATGTTGAAATCGAACTTTTAATTCAATATTTTATTATATACAATATTATAAAACTATTATAAAAAAAAAAACTAAAACTAATAACTTAATTATAATAAAGTCCTACTCCCCGTGGTATCGTGCCAAGAACGCTGTCTGCGTTTCCTCGCTAAATAGATATATTTAGCCTTTGGGCTAAAAAAGGACCAGCCCTCTTAACACCAGCCGCAACAACCAGCCGCGGATGGAGTTCCTTTAGGAACCTCACCGCACGTGGACCCCACGGACCGATAGTCTCTACAGCAAATGGCACAAATATGTAGTCATCTCTCAGAGACTCATATTTGCGCTACATACTCAGTTCAGCTGCCTCTGATGCCGCTCCGGTTCTAAGCGGGGTACCCTTGAGATGAGAGGCCGCCAAAGTGTCTACGCAAGTAGCATCCCACACTAGGGACACACCTCTCCTCTCTCCTCTCACACCTCTTTCCCAAGGGACTAATGTCATACCGTCGGGTTTCCTGCCATCGTCTCTAAATATTTCACGAGGCTCTAAAACCGAGGAACAAGAGTCCTTCGGATGACATCGTTCAAAAAACCAGACTAGAGACAAGAGCCCTTCGAATGACATCGTTCAAAGAACCGTGCCTTGAAAACCTACCAGCACTTTTCTTACATGAAAGTCCGTGGAGGCCAAATTTATAAATGGTAACAGTATCACAGGATCACTGATGGGGTTGACAAATCGCCGCTCCAAGTCGAATTCCTACGGCGGTGCGCAAGCTTTCCCGAGCGCAAGCATCAAGTAATGTGCCGAGATTACTTGATGGTAAAGCGTGTAACCAGTGACTAGATTCCTTAATCGAACCAGGTAGAAGACGTTCCTGATCTTTTTTTATAGGATAGGGTGATAAACAAGCACACAGTCCACCTGATGGTAAGTGGATGCTTGACCCATAGACATCTACATTTATCCTCGATAAAAATCTAAATGCAGATGCGTCGTCACCCGTGAGGACTAAGATGGAATGCCTCTTTTCCAGTAAAATAAGTCTTCGGTTCTTTACACTCACCATACGAAACACAGCAGTGTCAAGGTGCCATTTTACGCTGGTATTCTGTGAGAGCGTGGTCCTTCCCCGGTTGAGCCGACTCATTCGTGCTACATCTATACTACTAATAGAGCTGCACCATGGCTCTACCACGTAAAAAAAGTGGAAGTTCTTCTTCTCTGTCTTCCGATAAGAATCTAAAAAGTGGAACATATAATGGCCTAATAAACCGGTTATGTAGATTACTACGCTCCGAAGCGAGTAAGTCAATATTTCGAAAAAAAATTTTGATCGGTTTTTTAAGTATAGCTCCTTCATTTTAGGTGATAGAAAATTTTTTTCAGATACGATTTCGTAGGGATTTTTAGGAGCTATAAGACCATGTGAATTAAATTACTTAAGATCCCTTAAGAGGCCTCTAAATAAAAAAATGAAATAAGTTGAATATACGTAGCTTTTGACACTTGAAAAAGCATTAATTAAATTTTCTTCTTAGTGTTTATTGTTATTTCATTCAGTTCAACAATTTGCTGCTACATAAAAATATAGTTATTACCTAAAATGAAATATAAAGTTATTATAAAATATATAAATATTCTCTTCTATTCTATATGCTAACCTAGTTGACAGTTTTTTTTTTTAATCTAACCTTCTTTTTCAGAGAATTTACAATTGTAGCGCTGTTGCTCATAGCATTCGGTACGGGCGGTATAAAGCCGTGCGTATCGGCGTTCGGCGGTGACCAGTTTATATTACCAGAACAGGAGAAATATCTAGGCTATTTCTTCTCCCTTTTCTACTTTGCGATTAACGCTGGGAGTCTTATTTCTACGTTCCTCACTCCGATCTTAAGAGCAGACGTGCATTGCTTCGGTGATAATGACTGTTATTCCTTAGCCTTTGGAGTTCCTGGCATACTGATGGTTATTTCTATAGGTGGGTTTTCAATTATTTTAAGTTCACTGTTAGATATTTTATAACAATTTTAACAATTTATAAATGTAGGTCTACCCAAGAGCGTTTTTAATGTTACCCATACCATATTGATTCTGTGCACTCATTTAGTCGCACTACTCTGACGGGTTGGTGCACGCCATTTCAATTCGATTACCCTCGAGCTTGTTATACTGTTTTCCCATCATTAGTCTGGAATTGGCATTTTTGAGCAGGTTTACGCTGACATTATTCCATCAGTTTACTTTTACCGTTCCAGCCTATTAAAATCTACTGTTGAACGTATACCTCCCCCATAGATTGCCTATTGGGGATGGGGAATATTTAACATATATGTAGTTGCCACGCTTGCCAAGCGTGTTGGCAAACGCAGTTTTTTATTTTCAGTCGTTATTAGGAAGACGCTGCTGACCATCCCCTGATTTGTCTCCCTCTGTCGCCTTTTACGACACCCACGGTGTGATATGGGGTAGTGGATATTCTTACATGTATTAAAAAGAAATAACATAAACTAACGATCCGCCCCGGCTTCGGTCTATTGTGGTCCGGCTCTATTGTGAATCTAAACCGACCAGTTTCGTCAATTTCAATCAACTTATCACGCACACAAAATTTCATCAAACTCGATCCAGCCGTTTAGGTGGAGTTCAGTTACATATACAGGAATAGAAGAATTATATAAGTATATAATTACACAACTATACCTTTCTTTTGAATCATTCTGTCTATTGAGGAAAACATCATCACAATCTGTTACGCATTTTAAAAGATCTAAACGTACAGACGGCGGGAAGCGACAATTAAAGTTTTTTTAACGCCCCTATACTGCGAATATTGTGGGTAGAATTTCATAAAATCCATTCTTGATAACTTTTAACATGCCAAAAAAATATTCTTGCCAAGTTTTATACTTATAGAGCCATAGTTTCAAAATGAGATTTTTTTTAATTAACACCTGTTGCAGGTGGAATTTCGTAAAATCCGTTTTTAGCTGACCTTTCCTCGGCGAAAGGAATATTCCTACCATGAAGCAAATACAAAGAGGAGACGTTGCAATTAAATTTCACTATGTAACAACGCGTGACAATTTGCGGGGTGAGGGGATGCAAAGCCCCGCCCACTACACTATCTACATCTACCGATAAAACTACTCGAATCTTTTCATATCGATGTTGCAATGTAGCTTAGCTACCTTGACGGTAGATGGCGGCATGTCCACAAATTGTTATAAACTATAAAAATAATATTATGGCGATTAAAATTTCTTTATTTCTGAATGCAAAACAAGTTTCAGCACCTTCTTATGATTATTTTATCATTACTGAGCTCTACGTACCTTTATATTTTTAGTTCACAGGACACAAAGTGTCGCCATCTAGTGTGCAATATATTTAATTATATTTGAAAGCCGACGCAAAGAGATTTTTCTAGAATTATTTTAATAAATTAGGTGTAAAATTACTTACAAATGAAATGTGATGCCATCCATAGCATCGGAGCGTCTATCTCATGAAGCAAATACATTCAGACACAGAAATTTTAATCGCCAAAATAATATTATTATAGTTTTCATAATTTTGGGAACAGGCCGCCATCTATCGTCAAGTAAACCTCATAAAAAATAACAAAAAGACAGGGCCGCAATTAGAATTCAATTATTTTACCCAGTAACCCAACATTCAATATTAAATTGAAGGAAATTGTACTTGGCTGATTTTTAAGAAATGTTTAAGTTATATTTAAGTGACATTCTATATGCAAAGAATCACTTAAATACAATATAAATATGTTTATCATTTCGTGAAAGTCAACCTTCAAGATATATTTATTTTATCCATAAAATAAAGTCTCTTTGAAACTAAATATTCTATGTTCAATATTAAGTAGGATATTTAATTTGGAACTAAATATCCTACTTATCTCACTAATATTATAAAGGCGAAATTTTGTGTGTTCTTATTGTTTCCTTGAGCTTATTTCACACTAAGTATGTGTAATTTTTTCACGCAGAAACGGCTGGACTATTATTTATGTGTGGGTTATACTACTTAATATCTCTGAGGGAGAACAAATAATAGACAAATTATTATAATTAATATCATTTTATTTACAAATCAATTAAAATATAAATATTTTATTCTAAATTAGCCATCCGAATGCACTTTTTGAATGCCAATCTAAGAACATTAAATTGTATTTAAGTGATTCTTTGCATATAGAATGTCACTTAAATATAACTTAAACATTTCGTAAAAGTCAGCCTAAGTACAATTTCCTGCATTTAATATTAAAAGTTGGATTACTGGGAAAATAATTGATTTCTAATTAGTGCCCTGTCTTTTTGTCATTTTTATGAGGTTTACTTGACGAGAATAAGGCCTGTTCTCAAAATGATTATAAGCTATAAAAATAATATTTTGCGATTAAAATTTCTTTATGTCTGAATGCAAAACAAATTTCAGCACCTTCGTATGATTATTTTACCAATACTGAGATAGTTCACATGACACAAAGTGTCGCCATCTAGTGTCGAATATCTTTAAATATATTTGAAAGCCGACGCAAAGACATTTTTCTAGAACTATTTTAATAAATTAGGTCTAAAAATATTTACAAATGAAATGTGATGCCATCCATAGCATCAGAGCGTCTATCTGAGTAGTTTTTACACAATAAAACACAACACTTCATCCTTTTCTTCTTAAAACTACAAAAATAGACCTATTTGCGATTTTCAACACATAAGCGCACAGGACGAATGCTGACAGTTTACTAACTAAAGCCACGCCTACTATGATGACGTCAGGACCTACTTAGAATCACAGTGCACAGTTGCTTATGCCGCCTCCCCTTTGTATTAGCTTCATGATTCCTACCAATTTCAAGTCTCTAGGCCTTATGGTTCTAGAGATATCGAGATGAGTCAGTAGTCAGTACATGGATGGAAATCTCTTATATTTATTATATTCGTCATTAACCCCCTAATCAGAAATTATGTGTATAAGTGTTTGAGAATCCTTTTTATAATAATTTCTACTACATATTTATAATATATCATTAGTTCTCAATAGAATATTGCTATAATACCTTCTATTTTCAGTGTTCTTTGTGGCGGGTAAAAGACTGTACATAATCAAGAACCCGGCGGGCAACGTCTTGGGAAACGTGTCAGCCTGTGTTGGCGTAAGTAATTACTCCCAACTTCCTGATAAAAGTAGCCTTGACAGGATAGCCTCTATATTGATATCTAGCTTCATACCTATTCGTTGACACGAAAAAGGCGTTCGTTAAATAATAATGCAAATATGCAGATAACTTTTAACTTTTTTACTGCTATATGTAAAATGAATTCCCTCTTATTTTCGCATTCCATAATTTTAAAATTATCTACCGTACTTAAATCTTTACGTGCTTTAACTAACTTCAAACCAAAAAAGCTACAGTGCATTGTTATCTATGATAATAAAAGAAGACCGCACAGAGCGATATTTACCCGCGCCCGCACCACAAGAGTTCTTTTAAATTTTAAAGAGTCACGAGACCGCAGTTTTTTACGGAGTCCTGTCCGCCACTAAGACGTTATCACCCGCGAACTTGGCGGGAGATGATTCCAAGTCGGACCAGCGCAATACAGGTTATTTGCTTGGATCGATTGCCACTAAAGTCCACGCAACTATGCGCCCGCGTTCCCCACGGTATACGACCGCTCAGCGCGCGGGCACCGCAGCCTGCGCGTTTCAAATAGTTGCGTGTCGATGCTACGGCAACCGCAAACAGCCGGACCGCGATTATCGCGAGCAATAATTGCGTCTAGAAATGGAAATATCCAATTCTGACTATGAAACGCCCAACAATTTGTTGATCAAATCATTTGTTGTTAAAAAACTGTTCTTGTGGAAATAAAAACCGTATCTTAAAAATCCGGGACTTTTTTTAAAACATTTCCTTAACCATTTCATTCTTTTAAATGCATATCATTTCCATATGATTTTATATGTGTGCATCCATGGCCGAAATGTCTATGAACGGTGAGCATTCCCCTTTACTGTAGTCATTTAGTAATCTTTTAGCTACCTATATATTTGTTTTATTTTAGTATACATTTTTATATCCAACGAGTGTTGCGGTGCCACTATTTTTTCTTTTTTTCTTAATTGCAAGCTCATCAACTATAAGAATACAAGGAACCACGAAATTACGTGGAATGCCCCACGGCCTATAGCTATAATACGTATGTTATATTGATAATAATTATTCTCAATATAACCATCGATGAACAGCTGTTTGATGGACGACATAAATAAGAAGGTTACTACCGAAGAATGGGGGCGAAAAAAAGGCATCGTACCTCCTAACTCGTAGTAGATTAATTCAGAGGGTATTAATTTTTTATTGAATTAAACTAGTATAATATTAATAATTCTGAGGGTATTAATTTTTTATTGAATTAAACTAGTATAATATTAATAATTCAGAGGGTATTAATTTTTTATTGAATTAAACTAGTATAATATTAATAATTCAGAGGGTATTAATTTTTTATTGAATTAAACTAGTATAATATTAATAATTCAGAGGGTATTAATTTTTTATTGAATTAAACTAGTATAATATTAATAATTCTGAGGGTATTAATTTTTTATTGAATTAAACTAGTATAATATTAATAATTCTGAGGGTATTAATTTTTTATTGAATTAAACTAGTATAATATTAATAATTCAGAGGGTATTAATTTTTTATTGAATTAAACTAGTATAATATTAATAATTCTGAGGGTATTAATTTTTTATTGAATTAAACTAGTATAATATTAATAATTCAGAGGGTATTAATTTTTTATTGAATTAAACTAGTATAATATTAATAATTCTGAGGGTATTAATTTTTTATTGAATTAAACTAGTATAATATTAATAATTCTGAGGGTATTAATTTTTTATTGAATTAAACTAGTATAATATTAATAATTCTGAGGGTATTAATTTTTTATTGAATTAAACTAGTATAATATTAATAATTCAGAGGGTATTAATTTTTTATTGAATTAAACTAGTATAATATTAATAATTCTGAGGGTATTAATTTTTTATTGAATTAAACTAGTATAATATTAATGATGGTTTTACTGAACAAACAAAAAAGTTTTTGTTTGTTCAGTAGTTAAAACAAATATTATTCAAATCTGAGCAAAGAGTATATTAATCACTACTTTTTATATCGGAGTGATAATCTATATCTATATGTATATATATCTATGTACATATCACGATTCACGCAAAAACTACCGAACGAATTTCTATGATTTTTTTATCTAGCAGTAAATGACCGTGTATAACATATAGGCAACTTTTTATCCGCTCCTGGAACAATAAAAACGGTTGTTTTTTTTAATAGAATAAGGGTGACAAACGAGCACACAGTCCACCTGATGGTAAATAGTTGCTGTGGCCCATAGACATCTACATCTATTTTCGTTTGCGAATTAAAATGCAGTGAAGACTAAGATAGAATGCCTCTTTTCCAGTAAAATCTCCGGTCTCCGGTTCTCTACACTTACCATACGAAACACAGCAGCATAAAGCTGCTATTTTACGCTGGTATTCTGTGAGAGCGTGGTCCTCGCCGGTCGAGCCGACCCATTCGTGCTAAAACTATACTATTAATATAGCTGCAGCATGGCTCTACCGCGTAAAAATGTTATGTTATGTTATGTTTTTCCTTTTAAGCTTATTGTAGTTATGGCTGCTGATGGTTCTATTAGTCCTAAAGATGATTTACCTATACGTATAACAAATTTAAAAATCTATAGAAAAGTATGAATGTGAGAATGAAACTCATCGCGCCACCAGTAAGGGCAGAATAACGTCTGCTGGGCCAGCTAGTTAGCAATTAAATGTTTAATATTATACGATCAAACGTAGTAATTATATATCTACGCTTTGAACGGAGTTATTGAACCTAGAATTAATTATATTATATACATTTAATATTTAAGCAATATTAAATATTAATTCAGTTACAGAAGCAGGATTCGCGTACAAGTTCAAAATTTTGTTAATCTAGTAACATTTTTCTCAATGCTATTCGCTGAATAGATACATCCCTTTTTTTGAAAAGCAGATATAAGAGACAGCATGATAGTCGCATTGAAACTGGATTTGAAGACGTTATCTCGTGCTAACAACACTTGATCCAAATTTAATTCTAACCGTATCATTCCCTCTTCTGAAGGACTAAAATGTTCCCTAATTTATAATATTTACTGCACCTTATGACAAAATATGAATTCATAACTCTTATTTGCTTTTTAATCTCTTCATCATTGGCTGATTATTATTAAAATAAGAATAGAAAATAATTACAACGACATTTTAACATTATTTACCTCCTAAAACATAAAGAGAATGTTTGTTGACAGCATGCTGTGTTAAAATCTTGCAAAAGCAAGGAGAAACGCGAACACTGGCTCGATCACGCAGACGACAAATACGACTCGAGTCTAATCGAGGATATTAAGTCGCTACTGCAAGTGCTGGTCCTCTTCATCCCTTTACCAGTCTTCTGGGCGCTATTTGATCAACAGGTAAGTTAATAGAGATTATTTTTCCATAATTTCCTTGCTTGCTTGGTTGCCGTCGCAGGTCTGAGTGATTTATATTCAGTATAAAAATATTAGATATCCATCTATTGGAAAAAAAAGCAAATTTTCCCGGCATTTCCGTATAACGCCTTTTTTCAGGGTTTCTCTTAGACCACAACCATACGGCAAAGAACGAGAGATCCTGATTTCTTTATAAGTCATTTAGTGTCGTCATTGCCAACCCAGTTGTTTTGTTTACTATTTATGTTTATGTACACAATATGTAAATAAAATCCTTTCCGGTTCGATAGAGATAGATATAAAAATGTTGTTCGGCGCATAGTGTGGCGACATAATATCGGCCCGTGGGTGTCGAAGAGGCGAGAAGGAATCTGAAACAGAAGATAGACAGCAGCTTCTTCCTGATAATATCTTATAATAATAAAATATTACGGTAGCCAACAAAATGTACCTATATGATTTTACTACGGTTTGCAAAAAAATTTGTAGTCAACGGTATCTTTGAATGTGTGGCGATATAATTACCCGAGGGCTACCCGCGCCGCATGTATTGCCATGTAAATTTCCCAATTTTATTAAATTTTAATTTATTTATGTGAGGAATTTGTCATTCACGGATCGGACAGGGTTATGTTAAATATTGTATAGTGCAGTAGAAACTGTAAACTACTAAAGGTTGTACTTATTGTTTCACATTCGTGCGTGAGTTATCATCACAAGGTGCACTGAAAACCAGCGTAGTGGTTAATGCAACGAAATTATGCTGAGTAAAATCATTTTATGTGAAACCGCACATGAAAGACTTATATTTACTGTATATTATTTTAGTCAATTTATTAGAATTTTTTTAAGTGGTTTTGTTTTAATCTGTTTTGTTGGCGTTATTTTAATCAATACATTTTCTATCTTTCTTGTCAGTCAACTTCTAGATTACTGCAGCCCAAGGACATTTACAACAAATCACAATCAAAAAATGCCAAAGAAGTGTTGCCACCCCTATGGACTAATGAAATGCCTCGCAGTCTATGCCTATACTGTCTTGTCTTGTACTTTTACCTCTAAAGTTTACAGAATGTTACGCAAATACTTAAATTAGCAGTTTTAATAACTAGCGTCACAATTCATTTCCTGTTAATTTGCTTGGCTTTCGCGTATTCGAATATTACTGTTAATTAATGTAACATTGGTTTGTTTTGTTATTTTTTCTATTAATTAAATTTTCATTAAGTTTTATTTATATTTATTAAGGGCTCAAGATGGACTTTCCAAGCGGATAGAATGAACCAGGACATTGGGGGCTGGACCCTGAAGGCAGATCAGATGCAAGTACTCAACCCTCTACTCATCTTAATCTTCATTCCCCTTTTCGAAGTGGTAAGATATGATCTGTAATTTTTGTTTCCCGGATAAGAACAACAAAGAAAGATAGACAGAACTTTATATGTTTTAATAGAGCGCTGCGTACATTTTGTCTTTCTTTGCTTGTTTCCGTCTAAGACCAATAGGTATATTCGGATATAGATATTAAAAAAAATATTTAAATTTTAATGGAAGCTTTCAATGGATATAAACATTATTTATGAATTATGTATGTATTTACTGTAAGTTTTTAATTGAGAACTGACCAGTCCATGTCCAATTATATTGTACACATGATCTAGAAACTGTTAGATTTCCATTAAAATAATATGTTTATTATTTCTAAACCTATCAGCAATGTCCTCCAGACCTAATTTCAGTGACGGCTGCCAGTCCCAACGGAGACCAGCCATCTGCGCAGGACAGAGTTATAGTGATGTGAGTGCACAGGAGCGCTCTCTATTCCCTCAATCTCGCCCGATGGAACGGAATCCGACATGACCGCTGTTATACTGAGAATCGCTTGACAAAGAAACCCAATATATTTTTGACCCAGCCTTAGATTCGAACTTGGGACCTCAGGTTACGACGTAATCAAGGTTACGACTACTAGACGGGCGGGAAGGAGGCAGTCACTGTCTCAGACGTCACTGTAACAGTAATAATATAAAATTTAAAAGGCCCTTTGTTTAAGTCGAAAACCACAGACGATAAATATGCTTATATTAAAACTTTTGCATAAAAACCTACTACCTATTGCCTAGACTAGAGCGCGGGCTGTGGCGCGACGTGATGGATTCTCTAGCAAGAGTACCAAATATCTAAAAGATGCCGTGCGGCCTGGTGGTCAATATACTGAATGAAAACATAAACAAGAACAGAATTACACAACGTAATTATTGTCTGTGTCCGTTTTCACTGTGTTAAATTTAATATTAAAATAATTATTAACAATCTATGAAGGTACCTATATTAATGAAATAAATCGTCATTCACAGTTAAAGAAATAGCGGTTAATAAACAATAGGAATTTAAAAAATAATTATTAATTTTATTTAACATACCACGTTTTTAATTATATTCTTGTATTGTCATCCGAATTTGAGCTGTATTCACAATTTCAAGTTTCCAACTCATCGGGAAGTTAGTTTACAATCCATTAGGTATAAAAAACTTTATTATTAAATTCCTTTATATTAAATTCCACCCGGTACAATAGACAGTCAGACAAACATGAAAGTCATTTAATAAAAACGTGGTAATATACAAATGCTTACTCGTTAGACATTTTCCTTATCACTTATTATAATCATCTCAAAAATTGTTGCGTTTAGATATTTATTTTATTTGCGCAATATTAAACTTTACACTAAAGATACACATGGAGTAATACCTACATAACGTTCTTTATTAATTATTTCTTAATTACAATACGATATATATATATATATATATATATATATATATATATTTTTTTTTTTAAACTTCTTAAAAACATACTTTTCTTAAATATTTTAGGCAATCTATCCATTCCTGACGTGGTGCAAGCTCGTGAGGAAGCCTTTACATAAAATGATCTGGGGAGGTATTCTAGCAGCATGCGCCTTTGTTATTTCTGGAATAGTTGAACTAAATCTTTTGGTAAGTTTAACTAATGACATACAACTACTGTTTTCATTAATATTACTCAACTGTAACTTTATAGGATCATTGTTACAATCTGATTTATTATTATCATTTTATTTTTATTTTAGCCCACGTACGGTACGCCAGTGTCGGAAGGGTTGGCACAGTTAAGAGTATACAATGGTTTCAATTGTAACTTAACGTTAAATCTATACAATTTATCCGAAAACGCAAATGGTATTAATATCGGTCCTTTAGAAGCATACGAAAAATTAGATATAGAAGCTCACCAGCTAATTGACTTGCCTTACTCTCTAAGAGGGCACGAAAGTAGTGCTTGTGCAGATGTACAACATGATGGATATCTACGGCTAAAAGAGAAAACCGCAAATTCTTTCTTCGTCACGGCCGGTGAAATTTATAATTTTACTGACAATAATGACAAAGCTATCGACGGAGTGAACGTGAGGTGAGCATTTGTAATCACAGTAACAACACATAATAGTAAAATTTATTCTCATAAATTTATGATTAAACATAACAAACTATTGGTTCCTCATGTTTATGACGCTTGTTAAAAAACAAACTCTTCCCGTGTCGTTTTTATATTTCGAAAAGGCAACATATTAAAATAAAACTCTATAAGTAAATATTTAATAACTTCTTTTAATAAATCTTTAATATTTTCTACTAAAATTAAAAAAAAAACACTTGGCGTCACCAAAATCAAAATAATGACCAAGTATACACACGCAAACTTTATTATGTCAGCGGTTAAACAAGATTAAAATTCTACACGATTGTAATATTTTTAGTTATTTATATTTTTATAGAAGTAGCGGACACGAACGAGCACGGAGTCCACTTGACCGTAAGTGAATGCAGTCCACATCTACATCATTGGCTATAAAGTAAAAACGAACAAGATGGTAGATGGGTTATTACCCGTTACATGAAATACCTTTTTACAAGTAGATGGGTCTCCGGATCTCGCTAGAAATTTCAAGTAAATAGACAGGCAAACAAAAGTTTTAATAGAAGGCTGTAACACTAAGGCTGTAACAAAATGTATTTATTAGAAAATGCAAACCAAGGTCAGGATAGAGCTACAGATATAGTAACAAATTTTACAGTTCATCGTGAATATTGTCGCAATGTTTTTTATGATAGTACTTATTATAAATGCTATTCCAAAACTTAAACATATTTTTTTCTATTTCGGAATTTATTAATTTATTTTCGTTACCAAATATGAAAACATTCTCTTTATTTATAGTTGTTGGAGACCATGTAATATTTCCTTTTTTGTTATGCACAGGGTCGCCAAATTTTGCAAAGTTCGCCCACATCTCCGCGATTTGTTTTAAAAATATTCTGTCTTTATTATGCAAATCGTGTTTCAATTTGACATAGTTCTCCCAAAGCGGTTCGCATTTAAGAATATAGCATATTTCATCGCCTTCTGCAGCACCTTCTACCAATATGTTTGTCCCAGCTAAAGACGTAGCTTTTACGGCATTAAACTTACCAACATAATTAAATCTATATACATATACTGTTCTCTTTTGTGTGGCTAATAATTTTACATATTTATAAATGGGATAACTATGTAGATCAGAGGTATATCGGAGAAAGTATTGAATAGACTGCTCAGACAGGCCACTCTTAAAATATCTCTCTTTGATCTTTGTTGCAACTTCTTTGTATAATTTCGAGGAAGAATTATATTTACATCCATCAGAAAATGGTACCATATATTTGAAAAATTTTTCAAAGTTTTTTAAAAGCTGAGTATTATGTAAGAACGGAATTATCTCAGATATACTTTCTTGACTATTAAAACCAATTAAAATAGGCACTTGAAAATCATCCCCTTTAATCAATTTGTATGCATTCTGGGATATATCTGTTATGAGGGATTTATTTGACATTTTTTCAATCAGTGGTGCGAATGGAACGATCGGTCTATTGAAATTGATTATTTCTTTCCGTTTGTAAATTTTCTGCGACGCCATTACAATGTCTTTAGTAGAAGCACTGAGTAAATTGTTATTAGTAAAAATTTTGAGTTCATCTAATAATCTATTTTTTTCTAAAGTGGGATTACTTTGAAATAAAGCAGGGGAAAACAGAGTCCCACTTTGTAATATAATCTTCGAAAATAAGTTTTTAAAGCTGGTAGTCGTCAACATTGTTATAAAAGTACCAGCGGACCCGCTTCCCATTACGGTAATTTTGTTTTTATCGCCACCAAATTTTTTTATATTTTTCCTTATCCATTTTAGTGCCATAACAATGTCTTTCAATCCCATGTTTGCATTCGAATCAGTGTCATTTACTTTTAAGAAGCCAAAAACACCTATTCTATGAGTTACACTAATGAATATTACTTCATTGTCTATCAAGAAATCTGCTCCATGTATATGACTAAAACTGGAAGTAAAAGCATACCCGTGGATCCACACAATGACTGCTTTCAAGGATTGACACCCGTTGTCGGGTAAACAAGGTGTATAGATATTTAAATTGAGACAATCTTCGTATCCATATAATGCATGTTTATGTATAATGTGGGCTTGGGCACAGGCACCACGATATTGAGTTCTTGCATCAAAAGGTTTTTTCCATTTAGTTGGAGCCTTTGGATCTTTGAACCTAAGATTTCCAATTGGCGGTCGAGCATATGGTACTCCATAAAATGCGAAATATAATTTATCTTCAAATAAAGTGAACTCTCTTATTCCTAAAAGTGTACCTTGTTGAACATTTACTTTCACTTCATATTGTTGCGTAGTTAAAAATAGATTTATAACTAAAAATACGTTGCAAAACAAATGTTTCATTCCTATCTGAAGCGAGTTTAAACGCAATATTTTTTTTATCCTTATCAATCATTGTAACAAACCGAAATTAAATTCTTTCAGGTGTAAAAAGATTACGGATATTAGAAAATAAAATAAAATCAATAACGATGGAAATACAAGTGAGGTGGCAAAGATACGGCACTATGCCTATTGCCATAAATCTATGTCAAACGATTTAATAACATCTTTTGTTGTATTACATTTATCAACTACAACTTAGGATTTTAAAAGTGATTGTACCTATAAAAATTAAACTTCAGGCAAAATCAAATGAAAACTTTATATTTAAACACTGCAAGGTACTCAATATGTACGATAAAGTCGAATATCAATTGTTAAAAGTACAATTCTTTAATTTGGGTGTACAGTCTCAAACAAAATTCAGACCAGCAAAGTACCTAACTCAAAAAAAATTAATAACAATACGATCAAAAAATAAATATGGTGAGCGCACCAACGTTTACATAATAACTCGCTTATAAAATAGTCTGGATAATAAATTAAGAAGTGAACTTAGAATGAATTTAACATAAATTATAAACTAAAATGTTTACGTAATGTTTAATTTTTGTAAATGTAGACGGAACGGCACGCAACACAAACCTTCGGTGTTTTTCGCAGTGCCAATGCCAATGTATGTAACAATTTTTATCTGATAATAAAAAAAATTAATAACATCTTTTGTTGTAGTCAGTATAATTCGAATTCATTTTTCAAAGTCTTGACATGGACATCAAAAACCAGCATATTTAAAAAAAAATATTATGCGGCCAAGAGAATTCATCGCCCTATTTCATCCCGTGGAAGCCGTAAGAGGCAACTAAGGAAAATGCAAAAAAGATCGTAAACGTAGCGATTTTGAGTTTCCGCTTTAAAAGTGCAAAAGATGGTGAATTAGGAGAAAGAGAAAAATCATGGCTTGATATTCCATGGTATGAGCTAAGAAACTAAAATAAAAAAGAAATTAATTAGGCAAGTTTGCCGAAATATTTTGTATTAAAGAGGGTATTAAAATACACTGTTTACGTGTTTGGATTCTATAATTTACTAATACACGTACAGTTTTATGTTAGATAATAGCATATTACATAATATAATTTACTCATAATCAAGTTGCCACCAAAAAATTGTGTACTCAATCTGTTAATTTTCTGTTCTGGAAACATATTGTGATTGCTTCGTTCCTTCTGATTCACCGAACCGGCCTCTTATCTTATCGCGTTTCATGCGGGTAGTTTAGGACGAGCGAGAGTGCCTTTGTGTTCGTATATGCACTCTGGAACCGTTGAAAATATTATTAAGAAGTTGTTATGGTCGAAATCGGCCCAGATTATATCATTATCAAAATCAGTCAATTACAACTCTTAAGCAGCCCATTGGACATAAGCATCTCTTAAATTAAAAATATTTTCCGAAGCCACACGTTTGGTAGGCTGATTAGTGACCGCCAATATATTTTGCCCTAGACGGTGCTCCAACTTACCGGTATATATAGCAGTGACCCAGAAATTCTTAAAAAATTCTTAACACCATCTCCTATGGACATAGTTAAAGTCGACTCTGGGAAATGTAGGGTAAAATCATTATTTATTTCAAGAAATGACGAATCAATTAACTCCAATAATTGCCTGAACTGTAATGGACCTGTGGCAACTTGTCTTATGGTCTAATCGGATTTATCTAGTTTTGAACACACTCAAGTCAATAAGTGATTATGATTAATAAAATAATATGTACTTATATTTTACAAATCATTAACTTATGTATGTATGGTGGTTTTATTTATGTTCAGGTTCCTTTCAAATACGGTGGCACCTGTACAAATTTACATACAAGACAACATAAAGAATCGAACAAAATTAAGCTTATCCAGTACTAATAAGAATCAAAACACTATAGATAAGGGGATTTATGATGTTCTAGTTGCTGGACAAATAGTATTAAAAGATTTCTCCTTTAAATCGGGCGCTGTTTACACAATTAATGTATATGAAGACAATGGGGGAAGATACGTAAGTACTCTTTCTGTGAAATTTCTGAAGTTTTTGAATGTTTAATGTAAAATATTTGCACCACAAATATTTATCATGTGAGTAAATTTCTCTTTCTATAATCATTTGCCATTTAACTAACATTAAACATACAAATCGGCTTCCTGCATGTCTTCCCAGATCGTTACTCCACGCAGTGGGAGGCTGCCTTACACTTAGCGATATGGCGCTGCCATTCGATGGATGCCGGTGGCTCAGGACCATGCTTTGTGGCGTTCCTTGGGGTAGGCCTATGTTCAGAAGGGGATTTGTGAAGGAATGTAATAATGATGATGATGATACACAAAGTACACGCTGATGTACAAACGAGTTTTTGCCGACCCACGATGGAAAATCCATCCAAAAAGGTCGATCTTCAATTCCAGGAATTGTGAGTGTTGAGCAATATTATCAATGTGAAGTTTTTGGCTTTGCGCTCATCATCCTGTCTCATAGACAAATCAACCTGTTCAATATGAGCAAATATTCCAACAATGCTTGCCAACTTTCACTGTTTTTAGAAAGGTTCTCTTAATGTGTTGCTATATGAACATTAAAAGAATTTTTATCACGTTTTTATTAAGTCACTTTCTTGTTTGTCAGTCTGTCTGTGAAATTTAGTAATTGATTTTAAACTAACTTCCCGATGAGCTAGATACTTTAAATTTTAAAATATAGCTCAACTTCGAGTGACAATGCAAAATTATGATTTATAAAAGGGAATATTTATTACTTATTGTTAAAAATTTTGAACTTTACGACTTTTCCGGAATCGTATCTGCTCACAATTCGTATATTTATCTAAATAAGCCATGAGACGGCGGCGGAAGAGAATCGATCACTCCATCTCATCCTTTGTGGCAGGTAACAGCGTTACCGCTAGACGTGTGACACTGTTATCGTCAAAGTACCTGCCAAGCGTGACGATTACGGTAAATCCTCACCTCAACGGTAAATATAGGCATTACCAGCATTACCAGCGGTGAAGTTATAAAGCAATAAAGAAAATAAAGAACATTAATACATATAATGGTTGTTTTCCACTTAGATGGCGAATGCAGTAGTCATAACGCCACCGAACAGCGTGCACATACTGTGGCTGATACCGCAATACGTTATAATGACGATGGGCGAAGTCATGTTCTCTGTGACGGGGCTGGAGTTCTCATTCACCCAGGCGCCAGCCAGCATGAAGTCAGTACTGCAATCTGTGTGGCTCCTTACTGTTGCTTTCGGAAATCTGATTGTTGTGCTTATCGTCGAGGGCAACTTTTTAGATGCTCAGGTAAAAAGTTAAATAAAATCCAATAGTATATACTTAAAGTTAACTTTGTGACTTTAACTGGATTTAACTTCGCTGTTATGATCCGATCTAGACGTATAATACGAGATGACTCAAAGTCAATACTTCTACCATTCTACACAATTGTAGAATTTAGTGACTTAAGTTTAAACCCGCGAGCATAGAGCAACACGGACAACCGGCGGATCGGAGGGGAGTAGCCATACGCAGGCGTTCCCCTCTGTCAAAGTGTAACTGCAGGACCGCGTGGACGGTCCTATTCGTACAAAAAAAAATAGTTGCAGCCGTACTGCTCACTAGACTAAATCTAATTGCGCGGATGTATCAATGTTTTACAAAAATATAGACCAGTTTTTTGCTGCAAAAAAGACCTTCCACGTCAAATTTAAAAAAAGATGGCGTTACCTTTATATATAAGGAACTTTTATAACATTATTGCTATTTACTTCTTTTTCAACTTAAAAATTACAATAATAACGATCGTGTTGTTTTGGATTTGTTTACCAACACAGGCAGATCGGTTGAGCGACTGATCCAAGTTGTCGCTGTGGGTGTGAAATTTTTGAGAGACAGAGACATTTATATTAATGTGCTCAGATTTCCCCACAAATAATGACAGACAGCTTTTAACATTATTTAACCTGTGCTATGGATACTGCCCTCCGGTCCGCCGGTGGCTCGTGTTGCTCTCTGCCCCTCTTTTTATCTCATTTTCTTCTTTGATCATATCTATACGTGTATTCTTAGTCTATAATAGATTTTCGTTTTTCTTGTTTTAGTGGAAGGAATTTTTCCTGTTTGCCGGACTGATGGTATTGGACATGCTTATCTTTACTGTGATGGCGCTGCGGTACAGATACGTTGAGCTGAAATCCAGCACTGAAGAGTTGGTTGTAGAAGAGATCAGGATGCCGGATAGAACGATTGCGCCCGAAAAGAACAACTAGCTATTATTTGTACAAATAATGACTTGAATAAACTAATTTTACGGATTTTATCGCGTTAAAACTTATTGTTACTTATTTTAATTTGACGTTTCGGGTGCTTTTTAGCACTCACGTTTACGGCGGAGGCTGACTGAGAGATATTACAATTGAAGGGTGATAATAATAATAATAAACATGCTAATTTTCTTAGGCAGCTTGTTGTAGGTTTTACGAAAGCTCGCTTAAAGATGTAGCCATTCTTTTTTGTGACCCCTATGACATATGATAGTAACGCAGGCACAAGCTCGACTATGGCAGGTTTCACTCATTCACTGTGACCTAGGCGCTATCCGAAGCTTGTTGGTTGTCTTGCAATATTTGCTTGACGTGCTGGAGTTCGACGGCCAAGTGTTTTCTGTCACAGATCCCTTGTACGAAACAAAGATTTTCCCACTTAACTGTGATGGGTGATGTCGAGATTCACTAATTAAATATCTGTTAGTACGGGTCTTTTAAATTAGTAAAAAAGATAAGTTAAATTAGACGCGATAAAGTCTGTAAAATTGGTTTTATTTAATGTAAGGTAGTATTCGTGTAAATATGAAATCAAATAAAGACTTGTTTTAAATTTTCATAAGCGTTTTCTTTATTGTTTATTGTTTGGGTAATGTTAATGTTGATATTATCCAGCTGAATTTTGTCCATGGTGAAAACTACAGATGATGTAACAACTTATAGATGTTTTATCGTACGAAGGAGGACGAGCCTTACTCTGCTACTTGCGAAAAGACAAATTATATTCTTACATCACTGTGAACAACTTTTCTCTATTTACTTTCGTGTTAAAGTGATACTCGATAGTAATTAATGAATCTCAAACTGCCAGTGTGATGCACACTAAAACAAAGTGCAGTTAGGCTTTATATAGGCTGTTCCCTTAGATACGGTCGACTTTGTGTCGCGCCGCCTTCACACGTCCCGCATCTTGTCAAAGGCGAACAAAGGTCACCACATGCGGTGTACACCCGCAGGCGAATCTGACATTTTAAAACAAAGCGCCGTAGTGAAAGCTTCTTTGCTACCTAACTTGTGTTTATTATTTATATTCTTATTTTATTACAATAACTATGCCAGTAAAACAGTTTTAATCTTAGAATAGAAAAACATTTGTTAAAAAAACACAATAAAAGTTATAAAATAAAAGCAAAATAATATGCATCTCCGGGTTACAGAGACTATCTTAGTGAAAACAAAAAATTATATCAGCAACCGACTTTTGTATTGAGTAGGCGTGTAAAAGGAATTACTTCAAAAATATAATTTTGCGAATTAAGTGCCTCATTAAAATTGAAACTTAGCGGAAAGATCAAAGCGTCAATTTGGGTTGTGCAGTGCATTCACATAGGACTATTCAGAACAAGTCCGCAGTGGCTTGCGCGCTCTCTCAACGTCTCGGGTAAAAGAGACCACCTCTTATTTTTGATCTCACTCTGAGCCGGCCCGCCCGATCAACTCACTGAACAGTATCTAAGAATGAGTTTCCAACCATTAACGCAAACTAGGAGCTCTGATCGGCAGCGATTTTGCGCTTAAGATGCGAGGTATTTCCCGGAATCAAGAAAACATAACACTAAGAAGAAGAAAAGAACGTGAAAATGATCCTTCTACGATTTATATAGAAGAGTTGAATAAACTGCGTAATGAACTACAGTCCTTTTTCCAAAATTGTAGTGCTTCACAAAATCAAAATAATAACAAAATTTGTCAAGAAATGACAGAAATTAAACAAGAAATGCAAGAAATTAAAAATTTGACGGAAAGTTTAATAACACCATACTATAAGAAATGAATTGGAAAATATGAAACGGCAAAACTCAACTATCCAGAAAAAATGATCCAACTCGAGAGTGATATTGCTTCATATAGAAATACTACCAGCTCATCTTCGTTCGTATATCCGCTTCCGCTTAGCTACGAGTCCCTCACCCAGTAAATACAAGATCGGTGCAACCAGCAGAAAAATATCATAATTGCGGGTATACCTAAATTAAATGATAAAATTCTAAAAAACGCGACGCGAACGCGATATGCAGGAGGTTTCTAAAATAATTACGAGCATCTATGAAAACTGTCTAAAACCGAAAATGGTTTTCCGATTAGGTAAACATATTCCAGGTAAAAACCGAAATAAAAGGTATGTTTTAATTCGCAGGACACTGCGAACTATATATTACGTAACCGTACATTAACGAACACTAAAAATATACGTATTTACTGGGATCTAACACCCGCCTAGCAAAAATATTTACGGAACCTGAAGAATGAGCTTACTCAACGCCAGCAAAATGGTGAAATAGACTTAAGTATTAAATACTCGAATGGAATTACAAAAATTATCAAAAAAAATACTACAAAAATTAACTCTCATATTAAAATTGTTGCCACATAATGAAAAGAAAATGTTTCGCCATCTGTACATCACAAAATTTATGCAAATTATAACAATCCGAAGAAAAGAAAGCTTACTGGCCTTACACCTTACAACAACTAAGTAAAATAGGAAAGAGTATGAAAGCAGCACGGACTTGTGTTCTTTGCATGATTCTTCCGATGAAGAATATCACATTTCTGATAACGATGATTACTTTGATGACACATATTTTCAAATGAAAGAGCAGAACAATAAGGTGGAAAGAAAAAGAACTGAACAGTCAAGTAATGAACTTGAAAAAAAATGACACTTGGAAGAAAGTGATAGAAATAAGTCTTAAATGTCTAATGAAAATGAGGGAGTAATAAAAACAAAGGTTGAATCGGTGTTGGAATCAGCTCAGCATAATGATTTAAAAGACTTTGGCAGTTTAAAAAACGATTCGCCAGTGACATCGGATATTCAATCAGATATATGGAGGCTATGTTTCAATGACACAGTACTAGTACGTCACTAACAAAGAGGCTCGTGGAAATATTACATCGGTTTTATAGAAGATATTCGCATTGAAGAAGGGAAAAGTTATTTTACCGTAGGGTTTTTAAAAACCGTAAAAAAACCAGTACTAAAGTTTGTTGTTCAAAAAATAAAAGATCAAGATACAATCACTGAGGATTTTATTGTAAAACAGATTAAGATTACACAAAACATTGAACGGTCAAAAGAATACTTTTTAGCTGCTAATAGCGACGAGGTTTATTTTGAGTAGGATATAATATGTTCAAAAATTATATTTTATTTGATTGTATTCTTATTTTTCTAATCATTTTGAAGTACAAATTTTGATCTCATTATTTGAATAATTAGTAATAAGAAAAAATAAATAATGCTATGCAGCTTTGTTTGTGAAGTTTTTGAATTTAAATAAATAAATTGGTCTATAAAGTATTTTATTTGAAATTTCATTATAATAAATAGTCTCGTGTTTTTTTTATAGGATAAAAACACGATTTAATGAACTGTGTGCTCGTTTGTCACCCACAAACGAGCACACAGTCCACCTGATGGTAAGTGGATGTTGTGGGCCATAGACATCTAAATTTATTTTCAATAAAGAATCAAAATGCAGATGTGTTGTCACCCGTGAGCACTAAGATGGAATGCCTTTTTTCCAGGGAGCGTGGTCCTTCCCCGGTCGAGCCGACCCATTCGTGCTACAACTATACTACTAATATAGCTGCAACATGGCACTACCACGTATATAGATCGTGTGAACTAATCTTAACAATATTTCCAGTATGTTATCTATTTCCAATGTGTTATTGTGCGTTACAAGTTCCCGTGTGTGATGGTACATTTTCTGTGAGCCTTACCCAGATAATTAGGTACGTTTTGTCCAAAAATTATCACCATAAAATCCCCACTATCGGCACAATTTTGTGAGATATCGTAGTAGCTATTCTAGCCTCTAACATTAAACGTTTTTATTTTTTAGATTCCACAATTCAAAATATATTATTGTTTTATATAACATAGCGCTGCTCCATACTAAAAATAATGTTGTAAAAGTAAACAAAACATATTTAAAAAACTAACGCCGATAAAATCATTTAGTAAAAACATTAAAAACATTGATTAGGTATCGAACTCTGTTTCATTGGGTGGTATTCAAACTCTGAGTTAGATACTTATTTAAAAAAAAATTGTAGAAACCTTAGAGTAGGTATAAATAAGCATAGCTTGCTTATAAATACTCAGGTTAAAACTTATATAGTTTCGATAGATACTACATTACACAAGACGAAACGAAAAAAATGTTTAACTAAAGGGTTTTTCAATAAGGGCAGGTAAAACAAGCTGTGTGTGAGGTATTTTACAAAATTCTTTTTTTATTTGAAAGGCCCACATGTGCCATTAAGTGTGGAAGATGACTCGTTCAAACGTGCGCCTACGCTTCTTACAGTGACACGAATCCTAGTGGTCCAATTTTCAATGACTCTTCTGCATAGATCCGGCTGAATTTGAACGATGGCCTGTGTTATGTTCACCTTTAGGGCATCGGTCGATTGTGCTTTGTTTGCAAAGACCTGAGACTTCAGAAAACCCTACAAGAAAAAGTCTGGCGATGTCAAATCGCATGACCTTGGTGGCCAATTCACATCACCCCTGCGAGACATAAGCTTACCCTCAAATCGCTCATCATGGTGAATGTCAATCGTGACGTTCGCTGTGTGGCACGTAACACCGTCTTCCTGGACGAATAAATTGGTTACTTTTTGACGACGCGTTAACACCTAGTGAACGTCGCGTGTGTTGGTGTTGTCCCATATACAGCAATTCTGCTTGTTAGTACAGCCATTCATCCAAAAATGCACCTCGTCGCTAAAGATGATTTTTCGGCCAAAATTGGGGTCCTCTTTGCGGAACAAACGGCGTTTTCTATGGTCAATAACTTTGAACTCCTGGGTCAGTTGGATCTTAGACGGGCGTAGGCTTAAGTCCCGACGTAAAATTCGCCAAGTTGAAGTCTGCGAAAGACCGAGTTCTTGTGCACAGCGAGGAATCGACTGCCTCGGGTTCTGCTGTACACTTTCACGAACTGCGACGATGTTCTCGGCCGATATTGCGTTACTTGAATGTATGGGTACGGAATCTACGGGTGTTGGCTGATTGTTCACAGAAACGGTCGCTTCAAATTTGGCCACCAAACGTTGAAGAGTCACCAGTGACAGGCCACAACGCCTACCGTAAAATGGGCGCAATGCGCGCAACGTTTACACTAACGAACACTCATTTTGATAATAAATTTAACAACGGACAATCATTTGAACGTACTGTTCAATCTTGTAACTTGCCATGGTGATTTGGCATAAGTAACTAAATAATAAACAAAAGATTCGATAGATGTCACCAAAACAAAACGGCCACCACGGGCCGCCAAAATCTATCAAAAATGTCGTTTATGAAATTACATATAAAATATCAGCCAATCTTAAATATGTATAAGTAAGTAGGTCATGTTTATAACATACACACAGTTGGTGTCGAATTATCATGGCTACATTAAATTTAAGATATAATATTTAACCGTACATTTGGTTTTAACATTTCCCGACAGGTACACTGTTCAATGGTAATTTTTCTAATAAAAATCCTTTTAATCTTGACCATAGTACTCGGCCCGTATTTCTTTTTTTCTTC